GGTGATTGATGTACGAGGAAGCGTCAACGCCAATTTCTGACTGTCTCTTTTGCCCAATGGACTGAGTATATAAAAAGACTATTAGCTAGAGAGAGAGATTGGAAAAGGAAATATTATTGATCCAAAGCAAAATACAATACTAACCTCAACCCTCAACTCTCCTTTTTCTTTCTTTTCTCTAGCTGGAGAGATAGAAAGAGATGGACACTAAAAATAAAAGCAAGTGTATGATAGCAAATGACGATTGACTATTCATGTATTCACTGTTCATAATCGATGGTCCCTCGATTCTCTTTGTCCCTTTTGATGGCAATCAAATTATTCCTTTCTTTTTTTAGGATGCTTTCCCCCTTTTTCTTTCTTTCTTTTGAACGCACTTGCAACTACAAAAGGGCTAGTTTTGAGGCTGACCACAGGGCTCTCGAGGTTATGTGATTAATCACTTTTAATCCTTGCACCATCACTTTGCAGCCTTCTTTGTACTTAGATTATTGGACTTTTAACGAGCTAGAATTTTAATATATATATCTAATATTCTGTTAGCACACTTCCATGTTACATGGGTACTTTTTGAGATGTGCGATATATAAATATATGCACATTTTTCTTTTTTTACCGATTTTTAAGGGTAAACTTAAGTTCTACTAATAAATTTAACGGTGTAATATCAGAACAAGTGTATAGTAATCATAAGTCGCATTTGCGTCTTTAAGTGAAAGGGGGAAGCTGAATGTTGGATCGAGTGTCTTCAACTCGCGTTCTCCACTTAGTAGTAATTTAGTAAGGTCTAGGATGAGGCTCCATATGTGACATCTACCTCTTTAAAATATAAAATTTGAAGTTACTAATGAATTGACTATCCATCTATCTCAAACTAACTGCGCTTTGACATACATGGATGCTCATTTCACGAGTAACTTAGATTTAGAGGTGTAGGGTAAAATTGGTAACCTTAGCTCTCACATTTCATATATTCTTTCTTCTTTTTCTTGGTACGAAGTTAATTAGGGATACAATATTGGTACTTTTCATTACGTGATGTCAACTAGGACCAAGTTGCAGGTACATATGAGTGATGCAAATTGATTATTGATGCCGGTCCAACTTAAACAATCAATACCATATAAAACTGCTACATTCTTTTAGAAGTAGATGCCACGCCACTCTTTCTTTAAATGAGCCAAACAGCCAGCAAATTAAAAATAAAAATATATTTCCATGACTATAATTGAATTGAAAAGGTCACAAGCTAGCTCTAGCCAGGCAGCTAGGACACTGGTACACTGCTGTATCATCTGGTTCAGATTTCTACAGTTGTCTTATATACATATATATATAGGACAATGACATACTGAAATCACCCTGCAATCTGCATCCAAGGAAATGGTGGCCTCGCTTTCTGGAACCTTCATTAATCATGCTGTAATTAAACAGATATACATAGGCTTTTTGAAGGTTGAAAACAGTGGATTTATTAGCAAATTCAAGAAATTAACCATTGAAAACAGTGAAAACAGTGGATTTTTATATTTTACCAGAAGCTACAGAAGTCTGTGATGATAGAGCTCCAGGCGATTGTGATTTATAATGGACCCTACGTACAAATCGTGTCACAGCTTTGTTCATATTCTGGTTTCTCACAAACATCACTGACACTGAGACCGAAAACACGTAGCCCTTTATTATTGCAGCTTACTGTGATTTATATTTGACACTGTAAAATGTCCAGCATATCTACTGATATTTGATCCATAATTGGATAGGGATATTTGCTAACCCTATTATTATTAGAACCGAGGGAAACTTACATACAACGAGAGTGTATAACATCTGCTTACAAATATAAAATATATTTACATTTAGCCTTCCGCGTATCATTGAAGCCAAAAAAGAAAAAATGGTGATATTTTGTGACGTTCAAATCTTATCTGAAATGGGGTTTTTATATTATGATCTGAAAAAAATTATTTGGTGCCACAATTAGGCAGCGGGGTGCTAGAAATCTCCATGAAACGTGTGATGTGAAATAGTACATGGACTGAGCCACGACAAAAGTTGGATGAAGGCCACACAGACAGAAGCTTAAGCAAGTTGACGTACACCACTCAAAGATACCAATCGTATCCAAATGAAGATGACAGATATTTGTGTGAAACGGGCTATTCCCAACTAATCACAGACTATCATGTAAAAAATTATTACACATGACATGCCGTGTTTCACACAAGTATAGGAACTTCATGCTGTCTCGAGGCACAATATCTATGTTGACAACCAAAAACCTACTAATTCTTGTATTTATTATAGTCTAATCAAATTCGAGTTGTACCCGAGCTGCTTGTTTGTTCATTTTCAATCAAAAACTAAATTTTTTGAAATTGAAGTTTTAAAAAAGGGGGCAACCCTTACCTAATGATGTTATGCCCCAACCAACTTTTGCCTTAATTCCTTAAACCCTTGGACATTTTTGCTTAAAAATTAAGCCTCGTGACCCACTCACTCCACCAAACCACGGCATTACTATTTTTAATGTTTCTGTTGTTTCTCCCATTGGCCCAATAAGTTGAATCAATTAACGTTAAAACGTATATTAAGATTAGATTAGTGTCAAAAGCTGTCTATTTCAAAGGTGTCATTCATGTCAGACGTAAGTTTTTGAAGATTTGGGGTTGTTTTAGAGAAAGAAACAAGCAAATAGTGTAAATTTAGAGAGAGAAAAAGATGAGCAACATAAGAAATGCTATTAAATGGTTGATCATCACCTTTTTATAGTCCTAAATTTTTTCCGAGCTATTAAATATTATTGATGAATGGATATGATTGTGGACTGAGTAAAACAATTGAATTAAAACCTTAATTGAAGTATGAACAGATGGGGACACATTTTGAGCACTCTTATTTTTCTACTTTCCTAGTCACTAGAGATAGGAAACCTATAATATATAGTCCATAATAAAATATATGCTTCACTACTTTTTGGCAAAGGCAAGAGGCTCCAATTGAATGAAACAAAGGTGAGCTTGGATGTCACCATATTCTAGATCCTCTATATATATATATATATATATATATATCACAACTTTACAATTCATAAAATAGTATACCAAGATTAATGTTCGAATCCTCACGGCATTATATTGTGTATGTTTGTGTAAGAAATTCATATTCCTTGTAGTTTAGACGATCACTTGTACTAAAGAAAAGCTTGAAATATTTGTGTTCATTTTAATAGGCCCTAGTGGGAAAAAGCCATGAGATAGCTCATTAATTCTGGAGTGTTGACTAGAGATAATAGATGAAACTAAGCAAGATTAGCAAAAGCTAATCAAACAATTAGTATATGGGGTATTTCAGAATCTTGATGGGTTGGTGGTTGTTTTTTGTGTTCTTCTTGGGACTTGAGAAGAAAACAGCAAAAGTCCTTCTCAAGTGGGTCACTTCACAAAGGGACCAACATTCTCATGGTATGTTGCTCAAATGAGCCTCCCTCCACCCTTTTCAAGATCATAGTAATTTTACTATCTCCCTAGCTTTTTTTAATTGTCTTTACTTTTCTGTTCCATTCATTCCTTCGCTCACAATGTCACATGCATGTGATTGAAATTTCAAACACAAAAAACATAAAGATGATGAACTATAAATGATGAAAATAGAGATATAAAAAAAAGGGAAAAGGAAAAGACGGAAAAGTAATAAAAATTATGGGTGGCAAGGCAACAGCCTTGGGCTTGGATGAGGGCTTTTGGGCGTGATAGCTTTGCTCGGCCCCATTTAGAAAACGACCTGAAATTATTGAGAGAGAGAGGGAGCAGTGACAGTCCACACTGTAGACAGAGCATAGCAAATCACATTTTTAAAAGCATATATTATTATAGTGATCTCAAAATATTTAAAAATAAATAAATAATGAAAATGCCTGCCCTTTGCTGCATGATTTTTGAAAGGCCATATATATATATGCGTATGTGTATATGTATCTCTAAAAGGTGGTCCTCTTGATAATGTGCGTACCTATGGGTGGACAAAGGGGTCCACGTGGCAAGGCAGGCAAGGGGTGGCCGAGGCCACGTGGGAGCAGTGGTCCAAGGAGTTTGAAATATGACACGTGGTGCAAAAAGAGATGTGACAGGCTGTAAGGGGGGATAGAGCATGGATGTGAGAGAGTGTGTTTTTTATTTTTATTTTTATGTGTAAAAGCGGGTTGAAACTGGAGATGGGGTTGTGGACTAGCTGGGTCAGTCTTGCTTTGGTTCAAGACTAAAGAGAGACTACAAATACTTATTATTTATTTATTTTTTTCTTTCAGTTTTTTGGATGGACATCAAGACAGAAATTGACCAATTTGGGGATGGGAGATATGTGCACGTTTCTCAATCATGCAATCAGAAATATAATCTCCAGCTATTTTGTAAGTTTTGGTCCTAGTTCTGATGTGAAACTTTTGGATGAGGGGAATTACACATTAAAAACTTCAATTCACCGGGATTAATCAAAATTAAAGTTCTAACAAAGGGATTTCAATTTTACTTTTGTGGGTTCGTTCGTCGTGTTGACGTTTTTTTTAATCAAAAAAGAGAAGGGAATTAAACAAACGCATAGATATCACTAAACCAATAGCTAATTGATTCGTGTTAAGTTTGAGTGTCATCTTTTTTATTGGTTTTATTATTCTTGACAAAAGAAGGCATTGGGCTTTTTTGGTTGAGTTCATTTTGTCTCATATCTGATGGCCTTTGTCTTGAGTCAAGAATCCAACCCAACAAAATATATGTACGGCCGTTTCCTTGAACTAGAGAACATTTGAAAGACCAATTAGGGTTAGGGTTTAGGTAAATTGGGCCCTGCAACACAAATGACATAACAAGCCCATGTCTGCCAGAGTCTTGCTACTTCTTAATCAGAGAGTTAACTCAATTTTAATGGGAAAAAAACATTACATTTGAGAATAACAGTGTAAAAAGCATTACGTCTACAAATGACAATCTCATTTTCTATTGAACTTAAACCACTCTTTTTTTTCTTTTTTCTCTTGAAAACAACAACGGTAACCACTCTTTTATCTTCGAAAACGACGACGTTTTTTCAATTTTCTTATTGAAAGGGTAGCTTCCGATAAATATCCGTCTTGAAGAACGGTAGTCAAAATCATGACGAGGGGTAGACAAGTGAGAAGGCAAAGATGCAGAATGAGCGATCTTCCTCTCCCTATTAATATCCACCACACTTAAACTTCTAAAAAGTGCTTTGTCTGCTTCAGGGCACGGGTAGATTTTCCCAAAGCTTATATTTGTAGGGTTGATTTGGGCAGCGTCTATGCACCTGGTACTTTTACTGCGACTAAAGCTCTTCTTGAAGCTCATTCTAGCTGCTGCTACTTCCATATTCTCTTCTTTCAACTCTCCCATTGTGATTTGTGCAAGCAAATATTTTCTGCGCCTTTTTTGTTTTGAGTTGCTCTGAGTTCGCTATCCTTTATATAGATAGATGTGGTTGCCTAATTTGAGTAGGAAACGACTAGGAATTCCATTCACTCTAGGATTTAGGTTATTAAACGGCAACCCAACTTTCCTTTTCCTACAAGGAATTGAAGTAAAATGAAAAAGAATGTAACAAAACATTCAAATTTTCAGGTCAACGTTATATGGGATACCAACTTGCAATCGTATAATGCTCATGTACCATTTAATTTATGAACTTGTAAAAAATATAGAAAAGCTCAACAATAATCAAATTTTAGGAAAAAGTCTATTTAATTTTCAAAAGAACCAAATATACCATACAAGCCTTACAAAACCTAAAAATTACAGCGCTATCATAATAATTGTTTTCTAAAAATCATAACGCAAGTTTAATAATGATATTTCACATATCATTCAAACTAAAAAAAATAATACAGCTTGTCTTTTTGGGTTTTTTTCTTCAATTTATATGTTTTAGTGTTTTTATATAAAATCAATGCAAGGAATTTCTCGCTTGAACACTCATGTACCATTTAATTTCTGAACTTGCAAAAAAGCGAGAAGTCTATAAGTCGTTTCCAATGGATTGATTGAACTTTCAATTTGGATGGCACCATGGATTAGGGCCTGATAATTCAATTCAAGGGTTTTGGATTGTAATGGAATACGCCATCTTCAAATGTATCTTTTGGGCTAGGCCCAACAGCCAATACTCTTTCAATTCGAACACCCATAATTGACAACATATATTTTTGTCTTTGTTTTTGTTTCCATTGTTTGAAAAGAAGAAATGAGCTACTTTCCCACTTTTCTTTTTTTCACTTGCACTCTCTTTTATTTTTTTATAAATACTTTTTATATCAATTTTGTTCTTATTTCTCTTCCCTATTCTACCCTTACAATACATTAATTTCTTTTAAATTCACTTTATATATATATATATTTTTTATACTTAATTTTCCAACTTGCACTCCATTTTTAATCGAGTAAGAAACTAATATTGGTATAAAATTTGTCTAGGAAAAATTACATGGTCAAAAAAAAACATGCAAAACTCACCCCTCATGCCCCATGATTAGATCATTTGTTTTTTTTTTTTTTTTTTTTTTTTTTTCTTTTTTTTATTTTTTTAGGTGGCCACAAAGAAACATAAATGCATCTAACTACACATTTTTACATTTTCTTTTTCAAGGTTCTTCTCCCTCTTCTCCCTCTTCTCCCTCTCTTCTCCGTCATAACCATTCGCAAATCATATATTGAATGAAAAAAATTTGATGAACTTGTGGACATGAATTGAGTTATCAGAATTTTAGAAAATGAAATTGACTTTTAGACTATGAGTTTCAAATGCACATTAATGGAGTTCTCTTTGTTTCATATGAGATCATTTTATACCTTCATTTTGCTTGGGTATCGTCTCAGAAAGTACAAACAATCAGGGATTCAAGAGAAAGAAAAAATTAAAAAAAATGGAAAAGAATTCTTCTCATAGAAATAATTCGGCATTCCAAGTCTACAGGAGAATCCAAAAGCCTGGATTTTGTTCATTCTCATTGATATAATAAGAAAAAGAAAGAATAAAAAATAATAATAATTAAAAAGTATTAAAAAGTAAAATGGAGTGTAAATGTTTAAAATGGGAATGGGAAAGTCAGCTCCCAAAGAAGAAAGAAGAAATAATAATCTTCCTACGAGAATTGAGTGTGAATTAGAGGGTAGTGAAGATGGTGATGCTGACAATGACATTAGTGGTACAGACGAGAATAATATGGGAGTGACAATAGTAGTGACAACACATAACGATGATGACAATAGTTGTGGGACAATGCTTGCCTCCTTTTTTTTAAAATAAATATTTATTTTTCTTGTAAATTACGAGTTGACATATATATAAAAATAATTTATTATAAATATCATAAGAAAAAATTATACACACTTGTCAAACTTTGTTCAATAAGAAAGTAGTCATACTTTCAAGGAATGATGCAAGTATTTTCTATAGTTAGGATCCCAGTTAGTAAAATACGAAACGAGAAAAGTAAGAATAAAATACTTACGTGTTTTATTTTGGCAAAATTTTGGCAATATACAATTAAAAAGTTCGGCAACTATCTAATATTTTTAATATATTTTATTTTATTAGTATTAAATAATATGTAAAAAATACGGATATAATACGTGAATTTTGTTTGTATTATTCAAAATTTTGTAAAAAACACGTGTATTAAACGTGAAAAATATGTACGTGCGTATATTGTATGTTTGCTTTTTTTAAAAATGTATATTTTACCGAGTCTTTAATTCGTGTATGAAAAACAAAAATATTATTAAAAAATATGTACATATGTGTATATAATATGAGCATTAATTAAACGGAAAAATGCTAACTAGGGTTATGAAAATGAGAGTCATCATACATCTTTAACATAATAGTACAAGACAAATTTACATGTCATATTGATTTATCACTTATCAGGGGGTGTGTGGAAGTTTCTCTTTAATACTATGATGATGACAATATTCAATAGATGACGGTAAGCGTTTTCAACTTATTGAACACTATAACAAACTTTTGTTCATGAAATTTAAACTCATGACCTACTTTAAGATAAATACCATTAAAACTAGGAGTTGCATAATATTTGATGGGTATTGGTTGATCTTAACCAGTGTTAGGTGATATTGAGCAGAAAGACAAGTGAGAGAGAGAGAGAGAGCGCAAAGAAAATAAACGGAAGTAGGTGAAAAAGAAATATGGTGGATTTTTATATTCAGGGCTATCCTACAGGCTACAGCAGTAGAATTAAAAACGGATCAGAAAACGCCACACATACTTTGTTTCTTTGTAATAGTTGGGAAATATTAAAGATCAATGGTGCTTCTAGCAAGCAACAAAGTTTGGTAAATTGGCGCTGAGATGAATAGTGATTCTTGTGGGCCATGTCATCACTTGGCATTAGGTTAATTAATCAGTCATATTTGGCTCCTCCAGTCTGGTACACCTACTAGAGAGAGAGCTTAAAAACTCAAATCTAATTTGGATCCACAACTTTTTCTTCTAGTGCTTCTAATCGACCAACTTCTCAAAAAATTATATCATATATATTTTTATACAAGTGACATTAGAGAATGCGAAATTCAAACACAAAACATCAAATGCAAGAATAAACTCCTTACAAAATTATGTTATATTTTTAACTCAAGCGTAGGTAGTTCCATATTGAACTTCAATATTATTTGTTTTAAAATTAACTTCTTGCTTTGGTCCCCTTTACTTTTCTTTATTTGTCACAACAACTATGTCTAAGCTTCTAGGCTTCTAAAGAATAAATTTTCAATCATCCAGCCTACAATTAACCCTGGACAACATCAATCAGTTTCTTATGCATAGTATGAAATGTGTGTTATTTTATTGTAAATTGTTAATCAATCCTAATCAATCCATGAATGGCTGTACCTAATTAACACTCATGGCTCTAAAAGTGGAGAAGACATGTTATTTACTTGCATGCCATGTTCTTCTGTTACTGTGCATGGTCTTCCTTAATCTGAGCTCCATTGCATGGAGGTCATGGCTTATCATCACCAAAGTATTAAAATATTTAAATCCCTTGTCAGTGCAGATGCCAAGACAGCTACGAAATTATATTTGACACATCAGGATCTAAAACTTACTAAAAACAGAAAAGTAATATTGTAACCTGATTATTGTAGCTGGTAAATGTTTTTATATCAGAATTTGGAAAAAAAAATGTTTTAATATCAGAATTGCTAGTTGATTATTGACGTCGAAAATCATGGAACAATCGAGATTAGTTGGGTGAGCCCACAAGAATGACATGTGATGAAAGAAAATTTGGATTTATTTGCTCACTCACAGCACAAGGACTGAAAATTCCATCACAATTTTCCTTCATAAAGTGGTGCATGTATGAAAACTTAAATTATAAACTATAAAATAAAAAACTGTTTTACTTCAGACTCATACAACCACCAAATTATATATATATAAATTTTTTTAAAAAAATTAATCATGCAACATGCTGAAGCCATGAAACAAGGAAAAAAAAATAAAAATCTTTAAAGATGTCAAGCATTGAAATGGAAAGTGATCTAATTCTAGAAAGAAAGCATCATGAACAATAAATGAAAACAAAATTGCAAGTAAACTGCCAATAAATTTCATTCATTTCATAAGGGTATTTGATTATCAATCAAAGTTTGGTAAAAGGTCTTTGAATTAATGAATGAAATTTCTATATGAAAATTGGTAAGGCAGATGAGATGAGCATGTGGCAAAAAGCCAGTTGGAGTTTAAGAGCTTAAGAAGCAATAGCAATGGCTCTGGGGCTCACTTGGGTAAGCCATAAGATTGAGAGAGTACAATATTTTCATTTCACTTTCACAGTCCACTGGGATCACTAGGAGGACCAAATGGAGGATCAAACATCACCCTCTTGACTCTTTGTCAACCAGAAAGGTTTATGGGGTTTTTGACATTTAGTGGAGTGTGGTGGAGAATTGGTAGTGGACCCCACATGGGAGAAAGAAAAGCACAAAGCTTTGAGCTTCAATTCAATTTTCTTCTATACAAAACCTTCACAATTGGGTCTGGGTACTGATTCCTTCTATCTTCAGAATCTGTCTTTTTTGGTGGGCTTTAAGGAAAGGTAGAGATTAAAGTACCCTCTGATCAAAGCCCCCCAAAAGCTTCAGCCTTCAACTGTTTCCAATTTTCTATTTACCCTTTTGAAAATTGGACCCGAGTTTTGAGTAGGATTCAAGTACCCTTCCCATCACACTTGGTCTCTTTTTTTCTCTTTTATCTTTTACTAAAATGATTATATGACTCTGTTCAAAGAAAGGTTGAGCGATTTGCAGGGCTGAAAGCTATTGAAGGGTATGGTGGGGAATATCATTTTGGGTCCTCTTAGTCTCCTATGGTGACTATGCGTCTTGGGAATTGGGAACTTTATCTGATAGGGGATTCATCATATTCTACTGTCTTTGCAGATTCTTAATCTGTTCCAGGTAGAGTTTCTGAGGCTTTATTATATTGCTGTTGTTACCTCTCTCTTTCTTCATTTTACTTTCAACATCTTATTGATAAACCATCAAGTTGGAATGCTCCACCTGTTTTAATTTTTTTTCTTTATTTTTGCTGTGGGTGGTTGGAGTGTGTTCTGATATAAATATGTGGCCTGATGATATTGAATTATTGGTTGCTGCATGATATTGGGTTTTGGGAAAGGAAGCTCTTTGGGGATATTTGCATCTGGGGTGGGTGATACAGAGTTTTCTTTATTTCTAGCTGTTAATTTTTTCAGTCAATATAGGTAAATAAAGTTGTTCACATTGGATTGAGTTTATTGGAATAGGGTAAATTAATTTGTTTCAAGTCTGCTGAATGGTTATGTGGTTTCTCCTCTATGCTGTAATGAACTTTCTGAGAATGTATGACAGCATGCTACAATTTCTTTCTCTCCTTCTTTCCTGTTTTAACACCTTCTCTTGGTTACTATTTCATGTTTGTCTATTTTTGGTTCACACGGCATGTCCATTGAACTGCTGCCCTTCTCAGGAAGTTGTTCCCAGATTTGAAGTTATGATTTCTCTTTGCCTAAAGGAAAGAATTTTGGGTGCAGGAACAGTTTGCCAGCTCACTGGCAGTTTAACATTTCTTGTTATGGGTTGGCTGACTAAGATTCTCAAAGGTTCTAGCTATAAAGGGCACTCTCATCGGAAATATGGGCATGATAGATCGTGGGACGAACCTCGTGATTCAGTGGTAATTACTCTTTCGACTTCTACAAAATTCCTTCTATTCCTCCCGCACATTGAATGACATGGTGGACTAGTTTTATGCTCACTAGATTGATATCTACCCATCACAAAGTTAATTTATAGAAATAGCCGTGATAGTTCAAAGCCTGAAGGTTTGTGCATGCTGATCTTGCTAGCATTTTTTGTTTTATTCTAGTATGCTAACTCTCTGTTATTCGGAACTTGGAATGCAGGAAGAGGATGTAGATATTGCTATTGCATTGTCCCTTTCAGAACTAGATCAAAAAGGAAAAAATGTAATCGGTAAGTTTCACCAATGTGCAAAGACTAATTGGTATTTGCATATGTTGGTAAGTTTCACCCATGTGCATAAACTTGCTGAATAACTTGGAATTGCCCCTGTTTTCATACAAGGATTAATAGCTAGCTACTAGTGCTAAACATGAGATATTGTGCAAAATGCTTTAGGTGTGCAAATGCTTCTTGAAAACCGTAATGAACTGTGACAAATTTCCATTAAGCATAGAGTGTAAGTTGTGTATAACTCCACTAAAGGGGCACAATCATAATTTTTTGGGTGTTGTCTTGGGTTTGATTTATAAGTCACATGTTATCCATTTGCCTATATGTTTTTCAGAAGATGAATCTGAATCAGAGGATGATGAACAATCTGCTAAATTTGAATCAGACAGTGATGAACAACCTACCAAAGTTCAGTCAGACGATGATGAGAAACCTGCCAAAGTTCAGTCAGACGATGATGAAAAACCTGCCAAATTTCAATATGAGGAAGATGAACAAAGTGCTAAAGTTCAATTGGAGGAAGATGAACAACTTGCAAAGGCTCTTCAAGAAAGTTTGAACATGGGTTCTCCTCCTCGAGATGATAATGGCAGTATATTTCAACCTTTTCCATTCTTCATGCCAGCTGGGTACAGGTGAATGCTGTCACTTTGCTATCTCTTGAATCTAGTCGAGTAAACTAACAACTGCAACATGCCAATTCCTATTATCTGTAAGTTCTTAATATGTTTGGAAATGATTAGACGTTGTTCAATAGTGAACGATACGGTTCTAAAGAAAAAGAACAAGTGAATTTTGGATTTCCTATTGGGAGCTAGCCTAGCTCTGTAGCTCAAATGCTTAATTAGATATATTAAGCCATCTGATGACTTTTCAACCTATTTAGTATGAATCAAAACAAAGTGTACAAAGTGGTAACTTATGTGAGCATCAGAAAAATAAGTTGATATATATTCATCTTTGCTATACACGTCTCTTCAGTAACCAGAGAGTGCATAAGAATTTTTTTGGAGTTTTATCATAATTATTACAAATTGGACAGTTACATAAAACAAAGCCTCTTGAGAGTTGACTCTTGCATTTCGTGTAATTCTGTAGCTGTATTTCACAGATGCCAATTAAACCTTATGAGTTTTACTGAAAAATTGTTGTTTGTAGTAGGATATGTGCTGGCTGCAAGTTGGAGATTGGCCATGGGCGATATTTGAGTTGCATGGGTACTGTTTGGCATCCAGAATGTTTTCGTTGCCGTGCTTGCAATCTTCCAATTACTGATTATGAGGTGAAAATCCAGTCTTGTCCTGTAAGATTTTTCTTTGGAATTGCCTGACAAAGTACTTGAATGCACAGCTGAGTTGCCTTTTTTTTTAATAAATTTATGGGAACAATACCATGAGTGTTATGTAAATATCATTTAATTTTTGGATCTCCTATCTGTGACAGTATTCTATGTCTGGGAATCACCCTTACCACAAATCCTGCTATAAGGAGCAGCATCACCCAAGATGTGATGTTTGTAAGAATTTTGTAAGTGTCTCTTCTTATTGAGTTCTTTAATGCTATAAGCATTTCCATTTTGGTAATTAAAATAGTTGTATTTAGTTGATGATGTTACCAGAGACGTTACCAGAAGGGGAACTTAGTGATCAATGTGCAGGCTAATAGGACATCCAGGAGCGGTTAATGAGTGTAGGAGTCCAGTTTAATGGCGCTGTTAGGAAATGATCATATAGTGCTGGCTGATTATAAAACTGCTCAGAGTTAGCAGGCTCCTGTCTGATAAGCTATAATTATTTGTGGATCTGTATTATGGAATATAAAAAAAATTGTTCAAGGGTGCTTTGTTTTCTGTTTCTTCTTTCATTTTTCTTTTGGTGTGAAAGTTTCAAATCAGTTCATTGTTTCGTTTCGTGAATGCCCTTGTTGATGGTTCTTTCTACTGGCTGGACTGGTTTAAGGCAACACATATGCATTTGTTGAACAATTTATCTTTTTGATAAATATTTGTTGAACAATTTTATATTAGTTTTCTCTATGTTTCTGGTTCTTTTTCTTTTCCTTCACAAATATCATCAAGGTTTCTTACAGACAGTCTACAATTTATGTTAGAAAGAGTGAGGCCTGCCTTTTTAAAATTATTCCTCTGTGCATCATACACATCATTGAGTCTTCTCTTTTGTTCTTTTTGTACAGATCCCAACAAATTCAAATGGTCTTATTGAGTATAGGGCACATCCTTTCTGGCTACAAAAGTACTGCCCCTCTCATGAACGTGATAGGACGCCTCGGTGTTGTAGCTGTGAAAGAATGGAGGTGAGTTCATGAAAACATAACCCCTCCACTTGAGACAACAAATCCTGAAGAAATGGAAAAGGATATAAGATTTACGTCAACCACTGACTGCATGACATTTTTGTAGCTTTTCCAAGAAACATCTGCAGTTCCAAATTTTCATTTTCTGTTGGTTGATGATTTACCTCCTAACCTTGCAGCCAAGGGACGCAAGATATTTGTTACTTGATGATGGTCGGAAGCTATGTCTGGAGTGTCTAGACTCAGCAATTATGGATACACACGAATGCCAACCCCTTTATCTTGAAATACAAGATTTTTACGAAGGTTTAAACATGAAAGTGAAGCAGCAAGTTCCAATGCTCTTGGTTGAGAGACAAGCTCTAAATGAGGCCATGGAGGGAGAAAAGAATGTAATGCTGATGATTTAACATTACAAGCTCTGAAAAACAATGGGTTTTTTCATTTCTTCAATCTAAAGTTGATTTGATCTTTTCCTTTACTGTGGGCAGGGTCATCATCACATGCCAGAGACTAGAGGACTCTGCTTGTCAGAAGAACAGACTGTTACCACTGTAAGAATTTGTTCCCCTCAAATTTTAGCTGTAGAAGTGTCCTCTATATTTATGAAGCTATCAGTTCGCTGGATAAGAATTGATTGTATATCTCTTACTATGTCACAGATTTTACGGAGGCCAAAGATCGGAGCTGGCTACCGGATGATAGACATGGTAACTGAGCCTCATAGGCTGATTCGCCGCTGTGAAGTAACAGCAATTCTTGTATTGTATGGCCTTCCTAGGTAATATTTCGCTGGCTCCCTCTTTGGCCATGGTTATAGATTATGCTTCTAATTGTATGTGACTGAAAATTTGTATAAAAACAGGTTGCTGACAGGGTCGATTCTGGCTCATGAGATGATGCATGCATGGCTAAGACTTAACGGTGTGTGCCTTTCCTGCTTTTATTAACATTTCCTTTTGGTCCCTTGGGTTTACTGATAGAATGTTTTGGCAGGCTATCCGAACCTGAGCCCGGAGGTTGAAGAAGGTATCTGCCAAGTGTTGGCCCATATGTGGCTGGACGCTGAGATGTATTCTACATCCGGTAGTGATGTTGCCTCATCATCTACGTCTTCCTCCTCTTCATCCTCTTCTAGTTCGGCGTCATCTAAGAAGGGAAAACGGTCTGACTTTGAGAAGAAGCTTGGTGATTTTTTCAAACACCAAATTGAGTCGGATTCATCAACAGCATATGGAGAAGGATTCAGGATAGGAAATAAAGCAGTGCTCAAGTATGGTCTAAGGAGGACCCTTGATCATATTCGAATGACTGGAAGCTTTCCGGTTTGACTTGTAGAGTGATACAAAGAGTTCTTACCTTATAAATCCGTACCTTGGCCTTGCGGTATTGATTTTATAGGACAGAAAATCCATATACATCATAAAGGGGAGAGAGAGAGAGAGAGAGAGAGAAGCAATGGAAATGCTCACTTCTATGTGAGTTGTTGTCATCTCCAAACAGTTTGGAAAACATATTATACAATCACATTATAGTTACTTCAAGCTGTTCAGAAGAAATTGTAACAAAAAGACCTATCGGCTAATAGATTATACTTTTTGTTTGTAGAAACTTAAGGGGAATTTTTCCACACCGGACCAAAAAAAGAAAGGAGAATTTTTCCGTGGTCCCTAATAAAATCCTAGCCAAGTCTTTTGTAATACTGAGTTTTACAAACTTTGATAGTCTAATGTGTTATGAGGCTTCGAACCCGAGACCATTGGTGAGTGAATCAATGCTTTTTTTCATTAGACACTGTTGATACAGACCAAAAGATTAGCTTGTTGGGCTTGAATAAATTTCTTTTTATTAATTTGTTGTTGAATGGCTTGTTCCGCAATTTCCGTTGCCAAAGTAGTCCATCAATAATATTGGAAGATCTGTGATCGATAAACATGGATCAACGGTCAAGATTACAATATCTCAGAGATCTCTCATCCACGGTTGACGTTAACAAAGGGTCACATACCAAAGGACCATCACCGACTGCCCAAACAGAACAACGCTACCAATACATTTTCTCCCGCCGCACGGTGTTTGATGATGGCTTATAACTACATGCACACCAACTGTTCGACGTTTTGACATGCTTTTCAAGCAGCTTTTTCGCAGCACAAACCTGATCAAAATCCTAAACCAGCAGCAAACTCGTCACTATGCTCGCGACCCATTTCCCAACAAGGTCTCCCTCTACCTCCACCGAGCCAAACTCATCGATTCAATTCGTCTTAAGCTCCGAGCCAACACCCCAGACTCACTCGCTCCTCTCTCAGGCGACCGTCTTCTCGACTCTTTTGTGGTCACTCAAGCCCTCCGCTCTGCTCCCTCCTCCGACTCTGCCCTGTCCCTCGTTCAATTTATCGAGCAGAACCCACATTTCGTTCATACCCAGAACACCGTTCATGCCTTGGCCACAGTGCTAGCCAAGTCTCGCCGAGTTGACGAGCTCAAGTTCCTCATTGAAGCAGTCCATGCCGGAAAGTTTCGAAACGTTCGTGTCAGCTTCATGAACCTTATGCAGTGGCAAGCTGCCATTGGAGACCTCGAGGGAGTTATTAGAGTATGGGATGAGTATAGAGTTAGCTCGGAGAAACGTGTTTGTGCCGAGTCTTATAACATTGTGATGCGCCTTTTTGCCCAGATGGGTAAAGACTCTGAGGCCGTGAAGGTTTTTCATATGATGATTGAAGAAGGGGCGATTCCGAATAGCCGAACTTATACGGTGATGATTGAGCACCTTGTGAGTTCTGGGAAGTTGCAGTCTGCAATGGAGGTTTTTAATGTGTTGCCATTGATGAGGGTGAAGCGGACTTTGAACCAGTATTCAGTTTTGGTAGAGGCATGTGTTGGTGTCAAACAGTTTGATGAAGTTAAGATTTTACTTAATGAAATGCGGGTTGATGGAATATTGCCCGGTCGAGCTATGCGTTTGTCGTTGGAACAAATTCAAGAAGCAGGATTTGTTCAAGAGACTGATGAATTTCTAAGAGAAATGTTGCCCAATGAGGACATCAAGAACATAAGTTATTGTGTTGACAGTAGTGATGAGGATGAGGATCATGATGAGGATGCTACTGATGTTGGTGGAGGTGATGATGTTAATGAGGTTCAGTTAAAACCGTGGTTAGACCCGAGGGCTTTGGCCAATGCCTTGCAAAAATGGAGCCCTGATGAAGTATCAGCATTAGAGAAGGCAAAATTTGTGTGGACAACTAGGTTAGTATGCAAGATTCTTAGGAATTTTAAATCAGCAGAAAAAGCTTGGAATTTTTTCTGTTGGGTTGCTTGTCAGCCAGGTTTTACTCATGATATTTACACAGTACAAAGGATGATGGCCCTTTTGGCACGCGATGGGCTTTCTGAATTGATTGATCAACTCTTAAACAAAATGAGGATGGAGCAATTGAGATTGCCCTTCTGCACTATCAGATTGATCATTGATTTTTATGGTATCTCAAAGAAAGCTGACGCTGCTCTGAAGGTCTTTCACGATGATAGAAACCTCTGTGGCCCTATATCAAACTTTAATTTGATGCTTCTGTATTCATCTCTCTTACGAACTTTGACTAAGTGTGGGAGGGATTCTGATGCATTGGATGTACTTGAAGAGATGATCTTATGCGGGATTGTTCCCAATATCCAGACATTTTCTGGGTTGATGCATCATTTTGCACTAAATGGGGACATCAAAACTGTGCAGAAACTCTTTGCAATGGTTAGACAAAGTGGAGTCCAGCCTGATGCTTATATGTTCAAAGTACTTATCCAAGCATATTGCAAGTGTGGGAGAGCTGCTCTTGCATGGAGGGTTTTTGAAGACCTGAGGAATTTAAATTTGATGCCTGACTCCGCCACAAAAGAGTTGCTTGTGAAGAGTCTTTGGAAGGAAGGCAAGCGGAGAGAGGCTGCCGCTGTGGAAGAGAGTTGTGAGGAAGTAAGTGACGTCCTTCCACTCACATTGCACGGTCACATATGGACAGTGAGTTCTGCAGATCTTACAAAAGTTTTTTCTATTTACTCCAATAGCTTCACATCAGCTGGTGAATAGAGTTTTAGATGGATTTGGCAAAGACCAATGATTTACTTCGTAGCGGAATACTTGAAGTCATACATCTTGAGTTCAGGGCAGTATGTATAACTACAGATACTCTTTTTGATGTTTGTGTTTGTATTGTTATGTAATGGCATTTATTTCTCTTTACATTGGATGTGAATTTCAATCTCATGTCGTTACTCATTGATGAAAAGGTTACCGTATTATTTGCTTGTATTGAAAACGTTAGTACAGCTTTTACATTCAACTACCATGAGCGCCTCTTGGAGCTTGTTATGCGTATCTCTCTAGCAGCCATTGAGCAGCAAATCTCTCGTATTCTGATTGGACGGCGAGTCGCTTGATTTTGAAACTTTTATTTTATTGGAAATAATAAACTGTCTGTTGTGATTGTCTTGACTTAAAAGTATGATTGTCATCAGATTGGTTTTTTCCAACAGGCCAACCTATCACCTATCTAACCGTTTAGGTGCCTCAAAGCAAGCTGCATATGGTTGTTCCTTACCAATCATTTATCAGGTCATATACTCTAGATTATATCATGATATGATGCACGGTTGCTTGTGCCAGGAACAATCAGGATATTCTCTTGATTAATCCAAATTCACGTGGGGCCTTCAAATAGTTTTTGTGATTTTTGAGCCGCGCTGACCTTATATATAGAAATGGTAGGAGGGACAACTTGCCGTCCAAAGCTGGGTGTTAGTTTTAAACTAATCTGCCTTATTTGAATAGTTCTTAGCAGAAATGAATTTTTAGTACAGGAAACTGAAAACTACTTGAAGCCTGGATGTATTTGGATCTATTTTTGTGTCTTTAACTTATAAAAATGACATCAATGATACTGCGTCTACTATTTTCTAATGACGACCAATGGAAGGAGGAGAGGAAATAAGACTCGTTCAATTCAAAGCTAGAGACACAGGTCGCCTGATATTTGTATAAATTATATATTTTTTATATGGATTGAAGGCTTTCCCTACAATGCCCTTCGGCTTTTCCATCGACCTTTAGTAAGATCACGTAAGCAAATATTGCAATAACTGGTTGAGAGCCTGCATAATCATAGCAAGGTCATAGCAATGGCAATCTCCTTCCTCGGCTCCCAACCTCTCTGTATTCTTCTACTGTTCTTCTTCACCACCCAAATTTTAGCTCAACCAGCACCATCCAACTCGAGCACAAGCTTTTCATGCTCGGTAGATGCACCTCCTTCGTGCGACACGTATGTGTCTTACCTTGCCCAGCCTCAGTTTTTGAGTCTCGGAAATATTTCTGATCTATTTGGGGTCAGTTCTTTATCAATTACCAAGGCCAGTAATCTAGTCTCTGAGCAGATCAGATTGATTGCAGGCCAACTCTTACTCGTACCGATCACCTGCGGTTGCACTGGAAACAGTTATTTTTCGAACATCACCTATGAGATCAAGAAAGGAGATAACTACTATTTAGTTTCAATAAATTCATTTGAGAATCTCACCAATTGGCATGCAGTGCTAGATATGAACCCCACTCTGGATCCAACGCTCTTGCAGATTGGTGTCAAAGTAACCTTTCCTTTGTTCTGTAAATGCCCATCAAAGATGTATTCGGATAATGGAGTTAAGCACCTCATCACTTACGTATGGCAACCCAACGATGACACCTTTCGGGTGAGTTCCAAGTTCAATGTGTCACCACTTGATATCGTAACTGCAAACGACTACCGGAACTTCACCGCTGCTGTGGGCCTTCCGGTGGTGATCCCGGTGTCAAAATTGCCTGCTCTAGCTCAACCGAAACCCCCTCACGGAAGAAACATATTCAAGCAGCGGTGGTGGCTCATTCTAGTCATAAGCTTGGGAGGTGTTCTAGCTGTTTCATCCCTTTTTGCAATGTTCGTGGTCCATAGTCGTCGTCTACATAAGAGAAGTAAGGCCTTGAATGGTACTGGATCATCTATGGAGAGCGCTGAATGGTTCAATATGAAAGAAGGAAAAAGTGATGAAAAATTAGAGCTCAAGTTCATACAGGACAAGCTTCTTCCTGGAGTTTCTAGCTATCTAGGAAAGCCAATCATGTATGAAATCAAAACAATTATGGAGGCAACCATGAATCTCAACGAGCACTGTAGGATTGGAGGGTCTGTATACAGAGCCATAATTGATGGGCAGGTCTTAGCTGTAAAGAACACCAAGGAAGATGTCACAGAGGAACTAAATATTCTGCAGAAGGTAAATCATGCAAATCTGGTGAAACTAATGGGCATCTCGTCTGAAGCAGACGGGTTTCGCTTCTTGGTTTATGAATATGCCGAAAATGGCTCACTTGATAAGTGGTTGTACCCCAAATCTTCATCCACTTCAACTTCTTTAGCTTTGCTTACATGGAATCAGAGACTAAGCATAGCTCTGGATGTTGCAAATGGCCTGCAATACATGCACGAACACACGCAACCGAGCATTGTTCACATGGATATCAGGACAAGTAACATACTTCTCGACTCTAAATTCAAGGCCAAGATAGCAAATTTCTCCATGGCTAGAGCAGCTGCAAACAATGTTACCCCCAATGTGGACGTCTTTGCTTTCGGGGTTGTTCTGTTGGCCTTGCTTTCAGGAAAGAAAGGCATGGAGACAAAGGAAAATGGAGAGGTTCTCATGTTGTGGAAGGATGTTAGGTGGGTTTTGGAAGCTGAAGAGAAAAAAGTGGAGAGGTTAAGAAAATGGATGGATCCAAATTTGGATAGTTTCTATCCCATTGATGGTGCTTTGAGCTTGACAGCCTTGGCAAGGGCCTGCACACAGGAGAAGTCTTCAGCTAGACCAAGCATGGCAGAAGTTGTGTTCAACCTCTCTGTGCTCACTCATTCGTCTTCCGAATCGACATTCGAAAGGTCTTGGGCTTCTGCTTTGGAAGCAGAAGAAGTTCTTCAAACTATCAATCCGATCACTGCCCGTTGATTCAGTGATAAGGAAGCTACAAACTTTTAGTCCAATTAGATTTGTATTTACATATTCATAATCATGTACTGAAAAATAATCTGCAGTTTTCCCTTTTGTGCTGAATGATGGAATTGAGTGTATATTTTTCAGCTAATTTCAAGCTTTGCTCGTTGTTGATGAGATTCAGTGTATAGCTTTCTTTCTATATGCAAATATCATATTATGGAAGCACACTAGTTAAGATTGTTGTTTATGAACTACATACTATTAACTAATTTGTTAAATACATAATCTAGCAACAAAAGCCTGTATTTTTCTGGAACCTTTTATTATTTACGCAGAATAATTCTGCTTGAAATAGAATGGAAGTATGAAAGTACTTCAGCCATGCCATAGCAGGCCTCAAGTACTTCAACAAGTGCTTTTACTTCGGGAATTGAGGAAAATGAACTTCAGTTAGCTACGTAGCATGAGAGTTTTAACATAAAAGATGTATTTGGGTTTTGGTATGAACTGATTTTAACAGACAAAGAAGAATTTCAGATGAAATAGGCCAAAAATGGAAAATCACAGCCTACAAAAATGATTTAAACTAGAGGAACTTGCAAATAAATTTATTTGAGAAATACCTACATGTATGGACTCACTCTGCATTGTATTTGCAAAATAAAAAGGACTGCCTAATTTTCAAAGTTTTAATTCATAAGTCATCTATACAAAAAACAACCAAAATTGAACAATTTTATGGTCATTTGATTAAAAATTAGTCATTACAATATTTTTTGAAAAAATTGTGTTTGTCTATATGTTTCATCAAAACTACACACATTAATAGTTTACAATTTGTATAATTTTTCTCGAAGAAGACGTATGAATGAAGACTCCAAAAATAAACGGTTTGCATTAATTGAATTTGAAATACAATAAAACACCACAACAAAACAAAAAAACAACTTATTTTTTTAAACTAAATGTAAATAAATTTTTTAATTTTTTTTTTTTTTTCAATGTGTCATGACCCATGGGCTACTCAATAGTAGCATTGAATTTTGACCAAATTAGACAAATGGACAGGGTGATTTTCCCACTTAGATTTTTTATCATGGGCTCTGATGTCCAATCAATTTTCATTCCACCTAATCATGCCATGGCCCATGGGCTACTCAAACATTAGTTTGGGAGCATATTTTGTGGAAATTTCAATTTCGATTTTATTTTATTTTTCAGTTGTTAGGTTTGTATTCTCTGATGGGTAATCAAATTTGGGTTCACGTACATGTCGTTTCCGGTTGGCATGGAATTTAGATGGAGGCGAAACTTTTATGAACTGCAGTTTAACAGACACATCTATTCTGCAACATTAGAAATGAATATTTTCTGTCTCTCTCTCACACACACACACATATATATATAAACTTGTTCTTATGAGTGAGATGAAATTTGTATTGATGTCTAGTTTCAAATTAACTGTCCAAATTTTCAACCAAAAAAAATTTATCTGTTTTTCAAATTAGAGTTGTTGATATAAGTTTATATAAATTAGATAAGAATGCAATTAATGGTCTACTTTAATATATTTTTTAAAATAATATATGTTACTTTTACTTGGTAGATAAAATATTGGAGGAAATTAAAAGGCTATATTTAAGATTGTTCATAGTGAAAATTGAATAATCACTGACATCTTTAAATGGGGTTAACAAGATGTCTAGAAATCCAAATGAATTCATCTAAGAGTCTATGTGTCTAATGAATTTGGAGATTTTGTGGAGAGAATTTGAATTTCTTCTTACGGTGTTGCACAAAGGGACAAGAGAGGTCAGGAGACCTTGTGATAGCCAAACCTGTGGATGTGAAGGTCCTCAAGCGACCCCATAGTGTTCAACAAAAGGCTTTCCATTGCTATTGCACTCGAGGTTTCTTTTTTCAATTTTTTTAAATGATCTGACTAAAACAATGTCGTTTTGAGCTGGGCTTTAAAAAATATAATAAAAAGATTATGAGCTTCAGCTGATCTGACGGTGAACAACATGGGCTTCAGCTTATATGCAAGACAACTAGAAGATGTTAGTAGTTCAACAATGGAATAAAAATAACAAATCTTCTCTTTTTTGGAAAATAGAAAATGCTAAAAAAACAATTATCGAACCTTTATAATCAAATGTAGTCTTCTTCTTTGCATATTCCTCACTGAAACAACGCTACTCAGTTAATAAAAATCTTATTATTAAAATTAAATCAAATTTAGATATTTGAATTACTAATTCTACGGAAATTGTTTATGGTTTTATCAACGGATATCAATCTCATTTTCATCAGTATTATCTTTCTATTTTTTAGTGTTATTTTTAAAGATTTCTTCCTACCAAATTAGAACATGTTTTACTCAAAATATGCCCACATTGTTGGGGATTAAATGTCTTCCCAATTTTGAGTTGAACCATGCAAACTTTTTCGTGACAACAATGGGGAACTACATTAAATTTATTTCAATTTTACCTTCATTTCTGTGATTGTTTTAAATTCAATATGTAATATCAATATTATGAGAAGAAAAAATGGTAGTTTAATGTGACCATAGGGATTACTCAATTATATTTGTACCTACCCCATAAAACTTTTACGCAAGGTCAGAAGAGTTTCTTTAAACAAATTTTAACGTTTTAAAGGGTTGTTTTCATTTTCAGAGAACAAAAATGAGACAAAAACATGTTCGGTGGCTCAAAAATAGAAAACACTGAGAATGTTTTCATAAAATGAAAACAAGTTCATGTGTACTTGTAGAAAACAGAAAAAAAATTGTTTTCATTCTCATAGGAACCGTTTTCATAAAAATAACTCACATATTATTATTCCAAATTGTACTACCAGACAAGTATTTATTGTTTTTGTTTTCTGAAGATGTTTTCTAATTAATCAACCAGACGCATTTTCATTTCCTGAAAATGCAAATTCGTTTTCTTGTTTTCATTCTTTAAAAATATTCTAAGAAAATATTTTCCGAAAACGTTACCAAACAGGGCATTTAGGCCCAGTTTGGGATTGCTGTCACTTTAAAAAAAATTGTTTATGTTGTACTTTGAAAATAATTAGCTGTAAAGTAAAGCAGCTCCATGTTTGGTAAACAATATTTTTAAACTGTTGTTAGTACAAAAAGCAGTGTCAAAACCGTTTGGTAAATTTTAATATAAAATTGTTATAACTGTGAATAATGACTAAAATAGACATGATGTTAAAAGTGCTATGTATTAATCATGTGGTAGTAGTGTTAGTAATGGAGTGGAGGTTGTGGTGGTGATGAAGGTGGAGTTGATGGTTGTGGTAGTGGTGGTGGTGGTGGATGTGGTGATGGTGGTGGTGGTGGTGGTGGTAGTGGAGGAGGTGGTAGTGGTGGTGGTGGCGATGGCAGTGGTTGTGGCGATGGCGGTGGTTGTGGAGGTAGTGAATGTGGTGGTGCAAGTGGTGGAGTTAGATGTGGAAGTGGAGGTGGTGTCATTTTTTAAAATGAATGATGGTATTTTGGGAATTAAAAAAATTCATTAAAGATTCATTTTTGCTTCTTTTGAAAGCAACTTTGAAAAGCAACCCAGATTCTGCTTTTAAAAGCTGTTGTCAAAAGACCACTACTTTAAAATAATCGGGATATTTTATTTTTACCAAACACCTTAAACTGTTTAATTTTAAAGTGAAGCAGATTTTTTGCCAAAAAAAGCAATCTCAAACGGGGCCTTAAAGTGAACACTTTTTTTTTAAAGAGCAAAAGCAAGATTGCATTCATAAACAGAAAAAGAGAAAAAAAAACAAAAACAAATATCGGCACCTCATTAAAACCTTCCTAGGACATTAAAGTTAACACTTACATAATTATATTACTTCTATATCTTTAAAACTTAAATTACAAGAAACTAAAGAAAAAACAATATGCAATTAGTGAGTTCGCTAAGAGCACTTTTAGCAGTTCGAACTACTTGGGCAGGAGGAGGCCTAAGGCCTAGGTGTGAGTTTCAGTGGGCTTTAGTTGCCTAGGCAATTGGTGGGTCCCACGTAACTGGGTAGGCCCAAAGGCAAACGAGCTAGAGCTAGTACCTGGGCTAATTGACGTCAGCAACGTAAAAATGAAAATAAAAAAATCGAAAAGAAATATGAAAATTTTCAAAAAATTCAGAAACATTTTTTTATACATACCTAACAATTTTAGTATTATTAATTCATACATATGAATCATTTAAGTATAAAAATAAAAAAATAAAAAAAATTTAAAAAAAAGTTAAAGTGAATAGTATTTTCCTCTGCCATGGTAATGGGTGAAACACAATAAACATTTTACAAGGGCTACCACTATTCACGTGAATTGTAATAATCATTGTCATTTGCCCTTAGCCATGACAAGGGGGGAGTTAGGGCAGCCACTATTTACGTGAATGGTAGTTGCCCTTGCAAATAGTATTTTCCGTTTCCACCCGTTGCCATGGCAAAGGGCAATTACTATTCTTTTTTTATTTTTTTCACAATTTTTTTTACCTCAATAATTAATTTGGATAATATTTTCGGGTTCCTACGTGTCAATACTATTCATATCTCATAATCGGATAAAATTTTCAATTTCAAATTTCAGATAAATTTTAAAAAAATTTGGCTGGTATTTATAGAAAAAAAATTCATTAATTTTTGTGTATTTTAAAAAAAAATTCGAATTTTTTCCAGTATTTTATTGCAAAAAAATTGGCTGCCTTTGGATTGGAGGAAAAAATCAGATCGGAGAGCCCAGACGATGCCACGTGGCAGCAGAAAAAAAATTAAATGAGTGGGCTAACGCCAGCCTGGCGTCAGCAACAGCCCTCGTTTTGGACCTTGGGCTGAACTAGCCTTCGGGCTAGCCCGAGTTGCGTGGGACCCACTCCAGCCCTTGCTTGGGCTCACTGCTGGAAACAAATTTTTCGTTTTCTTTCCCCCAGCCCGAGGCTCAGTGGCCTCGTTGGAATCGCTCTTAGCCATAGCAATGGGGGAGCTAGGGCAGCCACTATTCACGTGAATAGTGGTTGCCCTTGCAAATAGTATTTTGTGTTTCCACCCATTACCATGGCTAAGGGCAATTACTATTCATTTTTTTTGTTTTATTCACAAATTTTTTTACCTCAATAATTAATTTGGATGATTTTTTAATATTTTAGTATTTTTTAATTAATTTGGATAATATTTTAATATTTTAACTATTCATATTTTAGTATTTTTTTTTGTTTTATAGGAAAAAACAAAATCAGAATTTTTTAGTATTTTTTTTTAAATATTCGATTTTTTTTCATAATTTTATTGCTGGAAAAACGCCAGCCGTTGGATGAGGATTGGAGAAGCAAATCGAAGCGCTAGGGGCGTGACACGTGGCTTCCAACCGTTGGAGCCTGCACGCGCCAACGGTAAAAAAAATTTAATTCGCACGCTGACGTCACAACCCTCGACTTGGACCTCGGGTTGAACTGGCCTTCAAGCCAGACCGAGTTCATGGGACCCACCCCCCGGGCCTGGCTCACCGCTGGAAACAGCTTTTTTTCCCAACCCCCCCTCCCCCCAGCCTTGGGCTCAGCTCATTGCTGGAACTGCTCTAAGAGCACAAGTTGTCCCGTTGTTAGTAGTACTATTGCATTGTCTTTGTCAAGCAGCTATGGTCAAATCAAGCCAGAGCCATATGATATTGAGAATAATAATATAGGGTAGTGAAGTGATCATGACATCAGTACTTGAATTTTTCTTACTCTTATGTGAATATTTTTGTATTTTTATTATATTAATTTAGATTCCTATCAAATGCAAGACCCACCAAAATATAGGCTGCAACCATTGGTGCATGTCAATTATCACCCAGAAAACTCAAATAACTTCTTGTCATTTTCAAGTTCAACCATTGTGGTTCTTCTTTCCAGTTAGCTACAGTCCTTTTGACAACCAAGAGCATGATGAGCATCCTCTTGCCCTTTGGTAATATTATGAAGCCAGGAACTGCATTTGTTTATAGATATTGACCAACTCAGTTTACCAGTTTGTGTAAATAATTGCCAAGACTGAAGCTACTTGCCAGGCATTTTCCATTGTGGATTCTTTTCATGTATTAAACTAATCACTTGTGATTAATGACTAATCCTTTGCTGTCTGTTTCAAAAACAATTCATTACATATTGTCTGTTTTCAATGACTAGGTATCTTAGGCAAGTTTCCAATAAAGGGTATTTATGCATAGTAATTTGAAGAGTAATTTTTTCTTTTTGGTTGTGGGATTTATTATTAGTTCAAGATGTAGTAAATGACACACACAAGGTGAGTTTAATTTCTATCATTCTATAAATAGTCTAGATATCTCTTCTTCTGATTGGATTTTTGGCTCTCTTGCTGGTCTTTACTCGTAGATCAGTATTAAAGAAAAGGAAGAAATCTTTCAAGGTCAGGAATTATGATCATGATCCTGATCAGGCCACTCAGGAGAAGTTACTTTCTGGGATTTCACAGTATGTAGGGAAGGCAATTATGTATGACAAAGAAATGATTATGGAGGCAACCAATGACCTTGATGAACTCTGTAAAATTGGGGATTCAATGTACAAAGCCACCATGTATGGGGAGGTTTTAGCCATAAAGAGAACCAATTAAGATGTCAAAGAAAAGCTGAGTATCCTGCAGAAGGTAAACCATGTGAATCTGGTGAATTTGATGGGAATTTCGTATGATGCAGATGGGGATCGCTTCTTGGTTTATGAAAATGCTGAGAATGGATCACTTGAAAATTGGTTGTTCCCTGACTCTGAAGCTTCTTCAGACTCTCTGGCCTTCCTCTCTTGGAGTCAGAGAATTCACATAGCACTTGACTTTGCCAACGGCCTGCACTACATGCATGATCACACTCAACCAAGCATTGTTCACTGGGATGTCGGAGAAAGAAATATCCTCGTAGACTCCAACTTCAAGGCCAAGTTAGCAAATTTCTCAACAGCTAGACCTGTTACAAACTCATCGATGCCAAAAGTGGATGTTTTCGCATTTGGGGTTTTGCTGTTGGAGTTGCTTTCAGGAAAGAGGGCCATGGAAACAGAAGAAAATGGTGAAGTGGTTATGCTGTACAAAGATTTAAGCGAGGTGTTGAAGGTTGAAGAGAAGAGCGTTGAAAGGTTACAAAAATGGACAGATCCAAAATTGGAGAACTGTTATCCTCTTGATGGTGCGCTGAGTTTGGCAGCCCTTGCCACGACATGCACACAAGAAAATGCTCAGGCAAGGCCAAGTTTGGCTGAAGTCGTTTTGAACCTCTCTGTACTAGCTCAGTCATCCCCTAAGACAATGCATAAATTTTCAACTTCAAAGTTTAAAACAGAGCATTGTGGAAGTAGTCATTCCAGTTGAAACTCGCTGATTTAGGCTGGGAGCAAGTACTATGATTTATAAGTCATCTCTAGATTTTGAGGTACTTAATATCTTTGTGTGTTTCTATTCTTTCAATAATTTATGTAAAGGTTTTCTGTCTTTTCTTTTTCTTTTATTTTCTCAACTTTTGATGGAAATAGGACGTTGTTGTTTTAACTTAATGGCAATAATAGTTGACAACAAAAAAAAAATTCATGTCGTGCAATGGTTACACATACATGATACAGAAGAACAGTACTTGTGTGATACATACTTTTGCTACTAGACTATTGTTTTACAAAAATATTTTGCCTTTTCTGTATCCAATTGTATTTTTATCAAGGATGAGAGTACTTGATGGATTCTTGGTCTGCTTTCTGGCTCTTCAGCCAAGCAGGCTAGACTTAGCTTTATCATTCGTACTGCAAACTCCATGCAATGCTCCGCATTTAAATTAGGGTCCATTAGCCTATCAGGGTGAGCTTCAGCATTTCCTCCTCCCATTAACGTAAATATTGCTTCTGCATTTCCTCCTCCCATTGTTGTAAAAACTGCTTCTGAAAGAAGCACTTCTACACCATCCTGCAAGAACACAGCTTCTTTTCCTGTTACCAATTCCAGCAGAACAACCCCAAAGGCATATACATCAATTGCAGGTGTCACCAATCCATGTTCTATATATTCTGGTGCCAAATAACCTTTTGATACCTGGGCATACCGTGTAGATGAATTCCTATTTGCTTCCTTCTCTGCTGATCGTGCGAGACTGAAATGTGCTATCTTTGCCCTTAAATCTTCGTTGAGCAAAACATTGGTGCTGCTAATACCCTTGTGCACATAAGCAGGATAGATGAAGTTGTGCAGATAGTGGAGCCCATCGGCAATGTCCAAAGCAATCTGAACCCTATGATTCCAACTCGGAACTTCTGGACAACTTTCTTTCTTGAGCCAATCTCTTAAGGAACCATTCTCCATGAACTCATACACAAGATAGAAATCCTCAGAATGTTCACATGCACCGAAGAGGCTGATCAGATTGAAGTGGTTGATCTTTTTCAGTAATTTCACCTCCTCAGTTGCATCTTTGCTCATCTGTTTTATGGCTAGTACTTTTCCATCAAAAAACCCACGATAGACAGAGCCACCTAAGCAGTTCTTGTTGCTGAAATCCTCTGTAGCACCTTTCAATTCTTCGTATTCGAAGACTTTCAACCCAACATCAACTTCTTCAGCAATGGTAACAAAGAAACTTTCACGCAAGACCCATTTCTTTTTTCCTTCTATATTATTTTGAGAAACCCTTTTCTGGTGATAAAGAAACACCCCAAAGATAGCCAAATAAAGAATTAGCACAAGAATTCCAATTCCAATCCAAACATATGCTTTCTTTGACCTTCTGTTTCCATGAATCGGAGTAACTGGAAGACAAAGGCGTGGTGGTGGCCCTGGTGGGTAGTGAATAATGGTTTGAGAGCTTGAAGGCTCCACTGACAGTGGAACTAGAATTGGTGTTAATGCATACACTAGAGGGTCATCTTCTGTAAACCCATTTGCATAAGCCACACTCTTGGCACTTACATTAAATCTCTCACTAACTACAGGGACAGAGTCGCCCCAGCTGACCAAGTAAGTCAACAGAAATTTTGTACCATTGAAAGTTTGATTGCTTGTGGGACAAGCACATCTAAGTGGTACCTGTAACTCAAAACCAGGTTGCAAGCTTAATGCACTATAATTGTTTTCGTGCATGAGAGCATTACACGTAGACATACTCTGATATGTATCAGTTGCTATCGTATAGTAGGTGTCATCAATACTGGGAATAAGATAAGAGGCTTTAGCCTCATAGTACTCACCTGAACAAGAACAGACTACAGGAACAATCACCTCTTTGGTTTGAGGCAGCACAAGTGTATGATCTGAGATGTTGTTGATTCGGGCAAGCTCAGATGGATCTGAAGCGGTAAGGTTTGATATGGCAGAGACTGAATTGTAAGGGGGTTGAGATTGAAAAATCAAGAAAGCCTTGCAGGATTTCTTTTCACCATTGCAGGTGTAAAGAAAAGTTGGGAGTGATCCTCTGTCATCACTGTCAGCACAATCAAGAGCTGAGTTTTCTGCATAACTTTGTTGAGCTTTGAGTTTTGGAGTGATTAGCAGCAAAAGTAAGAACCTGAGTAGGTAGCAATCCATGATCAAGTTTCTTTCTGTGAGAGGACTTTTGGCAGAGGAGAAACTTCTAGTCTTGAAGATGCGAAAGAAGTCTTTGGCAATATAATTTCTGCAACATCAGCATTACCGCGTACATATTGTTTTGAATAATAGGTTTCTGTAGTTAAGTTGACTAACTAGGCTTATCAGGTGGGAATTTTCCCAGAAAAACCAACCCAGGTTGGGGCCCAAGTTTAACTTATATTTTATTTTAATCTTATTTAAAGAAGCAATGCTTCATTTACTAAGGGAGTTTAGGGTAGGACTATAGGGGGAATCAATGCTCTGTAGCACTCTTGACTTGGCCAACTCTATTTGATTAAAAAAAAACCCTTCTAGAAATAATTCTCTAATAAGAGAAATGAATGCCATAGACCTGGTTGTTTAAAATAAAAAATACCTATGGTAAGGTCTTTAACTTAAGCTTCAAGGTATAACCAATTGCATAATTCATATAGTCTGCAAGAAACTGATCATTTTTCTTGATCAAAAAGTTCCTGTCACTCCTTCCTTTATCTCTTCTAGAATATTTACCCCAGGTTTTGTCTTTATATGATTACTGCTGCATACCCATAAGCCATGATCAACTTCTTATGCCTCAATAATTAATTATTTTGTTATTAATAGATAATTCTGCACATAGGACATTGTTTAATGGACTATAACCAGATGTATAATGCAACAAATTACCTTATTTCTTTAGAATAACGAGGAACAAGAAGTATCGGACAAATCTTAACTGCCGTATTTCTAAAAGAACAAAACTAGCAGTAAATTACAATACAATGTAAGTTGACTAAACTAAGTAGTTGATTGAGATCCTGTCCTAGTTTCTCTGCCATCAAGAAATCCCTCAGTACCTTGGTCGCCTGAGATGTTGCTTGACAATTCCCAACTGAGTGAATTGCTCATAGTTCTTGAGAGAAACTGTACCATCTCCTCCATTGCCGGGCGAGCTGCTGGGTTTTTATTTAAGCAACTATGGATCAATCTGATCACAAAAAGAGCAAGTTCTGGAGGATAACTCCCTTGCATAGAAGGATCAATGAAGTGCCTCAAACTCTGATGGCCATCTTCGTCATTCAGCACAGAGTTTAATACATCAGACAATTGTCTATTTTCCTCATAAAGCACAGCAACCTCTTTTCCAGTGAGTATTTCTAGCATGAGAGCCCCAAATGCATAGACATCAAGCTTTGTGGAGATCAAACCATTCTCCATGTACTCAGGAGCCATGTATCCTATTGTTCCAACAATGTGATTTGTCAAAGGAACCTCACCTTCCGGCGCTTCAGTTGACCTTGCTAGACCTAGGCTTGCAATCTTGCCTCTGAAGTCACTGTCAAGAAGAATGGTACTGCTCGTTATATCCTTGTGGACATGGGGAGGAGTGGTGAAGCTGTGGAGATAATTAAGCCCTGATGCCACATCCAACAGAATCTGTATTCTTTGTGTCCAATTCAGAAATTTCCCCTCATTGTTGCTGTAATAGATCCAATCACTCAAGGGTCCATTGACAGCATACTCATAGATAAGATACCAATGTCCATCATGAAAGCAAACTCCTGACAGGCAAATGAGATTAGAATGGCTGGTTTTGTTTAGTAAATTTATCTCTGTGGACACATCTCCATTCTTTTTTTTTATGGCTGCCAAATCCCCATTGAAGTTTCCACGATACACAGACCCCTTAATCAAATAAGTGGAGTTAAAGTCATCTGTTGCGCGTTGCAGTTCCTCAACTTTGTAAACTTTGAGGGATTGAGCTATGCCAGATAGAGCCTCTAAGAAGTCCTGAGATCCTTCTTCCTCCTTTTTCTCTAGTGGTTTCTCAAGTGCCTCAAAGCTCTCCGAGACAATAATTGAATTGACACCCTTCGTACCTCTGCTTCTGCGAAAGAATGTGCAGAAGATAATGATGCCTATGACCAACACAAAAGCACCTCCTCCAAGAGCCCCAACAAAGGCATAAACCCATTTTTTCGTTGAGTTATTAGAGGAAGTTGAAGGTGGCGCCGGAGGTGATGGTGATGATGAGGGTGGCTCTATGGTCTGAGAACTAGATGGAGGGTTTTGCAAAGGAACTAAAAGTGTGGTGAAGGGATAAATGGTAGAGACTTGCTCAGAAAGCACATTAGCTTCAAGAGTTCTTCCGGTATCCGAATCAAATCTAGCACTAATCTTTGAAACATAATCCCCTTGAGTGATTATGTAAGTCAAAAGATACTTGGTCCCCACATCGGTTTGGTTCTTTGTGGGACAAGCACATCTAAGAGGAACACTAAGTCTTGTACCAGAATACAACTCTTTTGTAGTGAGATTAGTATTCTGGTTCATCATAGCTTGACATGTTGAGAGGCCTTGCAAAGTTTTATTTGCAATTATAAAATACGTATCACCATGCACAACAACATGAGATGTGTTTAGCTGATAGAAATCACCTGAGCAGGAGCATGTGATTGGAACAATCACCAACTTGTTCGTTTCAAATGTTGCAGTCTCGGAAACCGAATTTATCTCCGCAATCTGAGACGGGTCAGAAGCCAACATAGCAGAGATTGCAGAAACACTGTTGTAAGGAGGCTGGGATCTGAAGGTGAGGTAAGTTTGGCAACTTTTGTTCACTCCATTGCAGCTGTACCCAAGAACAGATTTTGAGTAAGTGTTTGTGTTGTAACAATCTGTAAACGCCTGGCCCTCATAAGGCTGCTGAGCAACAATCAAAGAACAGCAACAGAAAGTGGTGAGAATGATGGCAAATAAGATGAGAGAGAGGAAACTCATTTTTC